AAAAAAAAAACGGAGAGAATAATTTTATCAGTTAGAAGTTTTACGTTTGATTAGGATAATAAATGGAATATTTAGAACGGGGGAAGCATGTGATTGCAAGCACCCAAAAACAACACACTTAACAATGGAATGTAGTGGACATTAGTGACTGGTAATATCACAGAGGACATACCCATTACATGTAATAAAACCAAAAAGGACAATGATGCGCCATGATGGCTTTCTTAATTGCATCAGCATAAATGATTGAAACCCATCTAAGGCGACCTCCGGGATATTCCCCAGTTTTGTTTTTAAGAGCCATAAGAAAGAAACCCAGGCGAGTTTAAAAGAAGACGTATAGCAGATTATTAATCATGAAAAGAAACAAGAAGATGGAATAAATGAAGTGTAGGTGTGCGGATAAGGGAGAAACGGTAAGATATTCACGTGGGTAAGGTCAAGGGCCAGGCCAATCATATAGGAAGCTGATATTAATGATAAGATGCAGAGGTTGGAGCATTGAAGAGTTTAATTATGCATCTACCAGAACTAAATACCAAGACCCGTCGCCTTAAAGGGAAGAGTGGGACGAAGAAGGCGAGCATCGAACGAGGTTCCAATATTATGGCACATGTCGTGTAGTTGGCAGCAATACGCAGGATCATTAATTATTAATTAATTAATTACTAATATATTTGGGAAATTGGGAACGGAAGACATCAAAAACGCCGTACGGCGTGTGTTTCTCTCCCGTGGCCTTTAATTAATTGCTGCTGCTCTTGTGGTTTCCATGTAGCTACCTAGGCTCTATTTATATTCCCCCTTTTCTTCCATCCTCTTTTCTCCTCCTGGTTAGAGAAGACGGCAGAGCCCTTAGTTGTGCCCCTTCCTTTCTCGTTTGGTATTTTACTTTTGTTGTGTGCAAAACAACATAACGATTTGCGAGATTCGTTGGATTTTAGCTGCTTTTGGGGCTTGCAATTAATTACCGGACAAAACCCACACCCACCGGAGCTGTCATTTCCTTGCTAATTATTCGGTGGGCTAGCAACTAGTATTGATTCTTCAACTAATGCATATTAATTCTCTTTTGATTTACGTACGTTGGTACTCTGGTTTATTAAGTCCTGTGATGCAAAATTGCGTGATGTAGAGTAGTCGTGCAACGTAGTAATTATATTAGAATCGTGCCCAATCTACAATAAAGTGGACGTAACAGATTGTTAGGTAACATAACAAGAGTACTTACAAGGGGTAAGGTTTGGTGATGAAGAAGGTGGCGCGTTCTTCATACGACAAAACATGGCACTTTCCGGGACACGCGGTCAACGCTTTTCCATTTCTCCGTAAAATGTAATGTACTGCCAGGGAGAGAGGTTAAAAAAACCAGCGCGTGGAGGCGACGTCACAGGGGCCCAGATCCAGCTGTTTCTTTGTGAGAGCTCAGTAAAATCCCATCAATAAATAAGTGAAATAGTGCGGGTAAAAAAAAAAATAGTGAAATAACAATGTGCCATCACATTTAAAATTATTTATAAATATATTTTATGTAAGCTGTCATAAAATTTTTCTTACTCATTCTGTTCCATTTTATAAGCAACAAACTATCATATTTTTCTTATCCCTAGATATAAATAGCATTTGTAAGTTATTTTAAATTTTTACAGCAGATTTTCTATTTTACCTTTATTAATTATTTATTTTAATACTGAATATATTTATTATCTTATTTTTCAAATCATCATCTCTTCATAACATTCTATTTCTTTCGTAATTCTCTTTATTATAATAATTATCTTATTCTTTCTCTTATACTCTCTCTCCTCCATATGATGAGTTTCGATGTTGCTTAGAAAAGGGACAGAGGGAGTATATACTCACCTTATATTTTATAAATTATTTATAAATCATTACAAATGACTCAATATTATCTTTTTTGGGATTTTCACTTGCTTGTGAGTTAATATTGTGAGTTAATACGTACTACCACCTCCCCGCGATCATCGTATAGAAACCGAATCAGACGGTGGGATGGATGATACCGTCACCTGACCACTCCAATCAGTCACCTAAACCAGAAAATAAAACTTGAAAATCATGGTTGGCCTGAACCAAACTCAACGCAACCGAACAGGCTGGACAGATAGATTGGGTTACATATATTCATATAAGTAGATATCCTACTTAATGCCTTTTATTTAAATACTACTATCTCTGATATTTAATATAAAAGTTAATTTTACATTTAATTTGTTCACAAATACTCCCCTGGTCTTATTTATAGGTCAAAGAGGGAAAGACATTTTGTAGTCCTGTTTATAAGGTATTGAGAGAAATTTTTTATATGAATGTACAATTTTATCCCTTATTGATTATTGTGTTGGTTTTGTTTACATAAAGTATAATATATACTCCTCCGGTCCTAAATGTAAGGCTCTTGTAGTCACACATTTAGGACCGAAGGAGTATTAAATAGGAATAAAGTTATAAAGTTGATGAATTTTAAATAAGGGTTAATGAAATTTAAGATTTTTCTTGGTCTGTATGAAACAAGTTAAAAGTGATCTATAAATATGACCAGAGGAGTATAATACTCCAGTCCATTTTGTCTCTCATATTTATTTATCTGTATATGTTAAAAGTTTTATCAAATAGTAATTATAGCTAATAAACATGATTAAAAATAGTATTCTATGAAAGACAGTACATAATCATTACAAATAACTAATTTAACTAATTTTTTAATTTAATTAAATTAATCAATTAATTCTTATATTAAGAAGTGGTACGTCTTTATATTACGTGTGAAAACTTTTTACACAATTATATTATTTTAATTAAAGCCAATCTGATTCTCATTCAATCTATCGCTTACATTTAAAACTCTACCAGTTCATGATGAATCTCGTTTTCAGTACCTTGTTTGCGCTAGATTATAAACATATTTTAGAAGTTATTTTTATTTTGCTGGGAAAAAGTTATTTTTATTCTGTTGAACTTAAGATATGTAATTTCAACAAATATTATTACAAGTTTATGAGAGATGATAAGAATAATAATAGTTAAATAATATATTATGGGAAATCTTTTTGTGATTATTAAATAATTTCGAGAAGTAATGAGATGCTAATTAGTTGGTTTTGAAGAATTTCAAATCTCAAATGAGTGAAATAACAAAAAGGGTTGTTTTAGAGAGGTTAATGCTGTGCTGGGCATTTTTTGGGTATGTTTGGATTAGTGTTGGGTAAAACTGACTTATAACCCAACTGACTTTTGTAACTGAAATTAGAGTAAAAGTCAGTTAGTGTAATGCAATTTATGTTTGGATAGATACTTTTAAAAAATCAGTTGAAAAAGTTAAAAGTTGTTTGGATGATTAATAGAAAAGTTAGTTTAGTTGTAAAATGACTGAAAAAGATATGGAGTAGTGTTTGAAATTTTATATTTTTAATATAATAATAATTTAAAGAAACACGTAAAATTATTATGATAAAATATAAATAGTTTATTTGTAAAATTATAAAATAAAAATATTTGTTACGGAGAAAAATTTGAAAATCTATTGTAGATAATTAATTAAATATACATAATGAACAAACATGAATATAAATTAAAATTTATTTGGTCTCTAATTAAAGTAAATAGAATCACATAACTAATTAGATCGTAAGCTTTGTACAATTTTTCTATAAGTCAGTTAGAAAAGTTGATTCAGATTGCGTTGGATAAGTCAGTTATAAAAGTTACTTTTTTTCATAAGTCAATTAGAAACGAAGCTCAATCCAAACAATCTTCTAAGCTGCAATAAGCCACAAACCTCAGTTTGACGCTTTCCCGTGTGTTTTTGACATTCCAAACGGCAATCCAAACAAGCCCTTTGTGGTTAAGGGTAAAACCGAAAACACGTGTTATTTTTTCCTCTCTATGAAATATGGAGAAAAACTGCTTTTGAAATATTTTTACACTAACTGTCATTTAATATCAATGTAAAATTTAAGACAAACTGTGTTGTTTGTTAAGTGATGAACAGCGTAATTTTTTACTCAAGCTCCGCTTGATACACCAAAAATGATATATAGCCTGCATTGCGTTGCAGTATTTCTTTTAACAAGAAGGACCGCATATACTCAGAATTGCTTATCATAAAAAAAAAAAAAGCAGCTCTTCATAATAGTTTATAAATAAATTTTCAATCATAATTTATAAAATACTGCCTTTGATTTTTAATATAAGATCTTATTTAATTTTTATTTTAGTTCTAAATATAAGATCTTAATTTACTTTGTCTATCATATTTATTTATTTTTTTCTTAAGGTAGTCCTTCTAATAATAATAGTTCTAGCCAATACGTTTGATTTGTAAGAATATTTTAAAAAGATAACACCTCTTTATAATAAATAACTAATTTAATTATTTTTTAATTTATTTAAATAAATCAACTAATTTTTATATTTAGAACAGAAAATAATATAAGATAAAATATGCAAAATTTATTTCGATTTACTTAAAAATATTCTGCTCTCGCGTTTTGATGTTTAACGTGTTATAAACAACAGCGCGTGCGGCAAACTCCAATGGAGAGGAGTCGGGAGGGGCAGGGACAAGAATCCGGTGGTCAACTAATCCGATAAACGTAGTCAAAGGATACGGTTTCGTAATTCGTATCCATACGCTTGTGGGGCCAGGGATTATTTTCTTATCTCATCGATTTTTCTATCAATTGGAAGGGGGAAGCGAGAGCGGTACAAGTAGGCTAGCCTGTCCTAATTCTGATGATGTGGAAAAGGAACTATTTTTCATGCATTGCTCGGCGAGCGTGCCGTTAAACTCTATTTTTCCCGCGCGCAAAAACACCATTTGATATCTCATTTATGTGGAAAATTGTGGCAGGGACCTGGCAACCTGAGACGACTCCATAAAGCAAAATTATATTTCAGAAAAATAAAAACACAAGCTGCAAGTACTTCCCCCTTAAAACCCCTTCGTTTGCTTACTGCATTCAGCTCTCTTTCTCTCTGCACTTCACAGAGAAACATATGTAGAAGATGCAAATGGCTCAGTTTACCTTTCTTCTCACAGTATAATGAGGAAGCATTTCTCTCCCATCTTCTTTGACCGCTATGGCTCTCAGGGAAGAAGCCCAAGATTTGCAGGACTCTTCGTTATTCCTCGACGCGCTCCTCTGTGAGGAGCATGGCTTCGACCAAGAATCTGCTGAGGAGGAGGAGGTTCATGACTCCGATTCGGCCGTTAGAGATCCCTCATCTTTACCCTTGAATTTGTTGGAAAATGACTTGTTCTGGGAAGATGCTGAGCTTGTTTCCCTTATCTCTAAGGAGGGAGAAACTCATTTAAATTTAGACAGTCTAATTGCCGACGAGCCTCTGCAGAAAGCTCGCGAGGACGCTGTGAGATGGATTTCAAAAGTTTGTGCGCACTATGGTTTCTCTACTTTGACCACTGTTCTCTCTGTGAACTACTTCGATAGGTTCGTCATGAGCCTCACGTTTCAGAAGGATAAGCCCTGGATGACTCAGCTCGCTGCAGTTGCCTGTTTAGCTCTGGCTGCCAAAGTGGAAGAGATCCGAGTCCCTCTTCTTTTGGACCTGCAAGTATGTCTATTGTTGAAAGTAATGAAGCTTAGGCGTCTGTAGATATAAGTGCGTCTCTCTGAAAGTGGGGTTTTCTGTTTTTGATTAGGTGGAGCAATCGAAGTACTTGTTTGAAGCAAAGACAATACAGAGAATGGAGCTCCTGGTATTATCAACTCTTAACTGGAGGATGAACCCGGTGACTCCAATCTCCTTCTTTGAACTTATTGTCAGAATGCTGGGCCTAAAGAGCCGCTTGCATTGGGAGTTCTTGTTTCGGTGCCAGCGTGCGCTTCTCTGTCTCATTCTGGGTAAGCAAAGCATTGCGCTTCGTGTTTTTAAATAAACTTAATTTTAATAATAGATGGTCATAACTAGGACGCATCAAATCCGGAATCCGGAATCCGGAATCCGGAGGCCTGAAAACAATCATAACATTGCCGATTCATTCAAAGGTGCCTTCTTGTCTCTAGATTCAAGGCCTATGAGTTATCGTCCATCTACATTAGCTGTTGCTATAATGATCCACGTTATTAGCGAGGTTGAACCATTAAATGCAATGGAGCACAGACACCAGCTTATGCTTTTACTCAAAATCAATGAGGTTTGTGTCAGCAGTTTTTCATCTACGCGGGAGCCCTGTCTCCTGATTTTGTAAATTTTGCAACTGAATTAATGAATCCCTGAGCAATTTGGCTGTGATCTTTCAGGAACAAGTGAATGAATGTTACAAACTCATTCTGAAGCTATTATGCTGTCATGAAGACATTCAAAATATTAACCCGAAACGCAAGCGTCTGTCCAGCCCAGATGGTGTCATTGATGTGTCTTTCAGCAGTGATTGCGCAGATGACTCGTGGGCTAAGGCATCACCACTCTCATTGTCGCTAGAGCCGATGTTTAAGCGAAGCAGAGCCCTAGAGCAGCCGATGCATTTGCCTTCCGTAAATCGTGTGTCTATTGATGTTCTTCACAGCCCTCGTTAGTTTTTTATTTATGCTAGTATTATCACGAGACACGGTACCCTCTGGCATATATCTGGCACTAGTGTTCTTCAGATGCAACTTTATTGTGTTTTTAGTCGTATACATGTCTCGGCCATCATTTCAAGGTTAATGACATGGAATCAGACTTCCCTTCTCTACTTTCTTATTTAGTTGGAGGTGAAACGAGGATCTGAGACCGTGAGTAGAAAGATGAACTATAATTCTACCTGAGTTCTGATATTTTTCAACAAGCACTATAAGGAAATTTCCTTTATGTCCTTATTAGATACCCCCCCGACTCTCCTTTTGTTTGTGCAGAATAGTATCTGCACATGGAGATCGCTATGGGATAACATGCTTTCGGTGTTTCAGTAATAAATGAAACTTTTGTTGAAGGTCAAACTAAACCCTTATTCATGTCATCTTGTTTTTCCCATGGGAGACAGTTTTTTCCTTCCCGCATCAATTCAACGATCTGTTACTTTTCCAAAATCCTTTTTTGCGTTAGAGTGAGAAACAGGTCGATACTATTGTACTGAATATCATGTCACGGAAAAGATGCCGAATATCTGACTATGATTGTGGTAATCTCAAGGGTCTTCATTGTTGAAACTCAGTTTGCAGTTGCTTGCCTGATTTGTTTCAATTTTGTTTATAGCTGACTAATCATATGAGAAATCTGCAATTCTATCCCTCCTGTTGTGGGCCAGCACATATCGAGTGTAAGAATTTCATGAGATGATTAATGTTCTAATTCATCAGTTGTCGCATATCGTGCAAATGAACTTGCAATTGTTTGTTGTTACTGCCATATTGGCATTTGACCAAAGTGAACTGAGATGATTATTGCTGGCACACTGCTGCCATCGATGTCAAACTTGATCCAAAGTGCTATTGGGGCTGTGCTGTGTCTGTGTTTCATCATTGCCTCTTGTGACCATTTGCCATGCTAAAGTGAATTGGTCAAAAAGTGAAATGCTTTTTGTTGCCTTCTATAGCCCGTCCTCAAATATAGGTGGCAGGAGATTCATATGTCGTTATACAGTCTCTTTGACAGAGAACCCCCCCTTGTTTTCATTGTATGATTAAGAGGGCATGTAATATTTGTTATACGTTTGTTGTTGCAATGCTGTGGTATGTTATCATTATTTAATAATAACTTTTTTTTTTTGGTAGGCAGAAAAATATGTGCTGAATTTTTCTGATATTTTTTCATTCTACTTTATTCGGTGTCAAATAAATTTCTTAGAAGTCTGAATGATAGTATCAAGTCATTGAAAATAAAAGAGCACTCGTAGATAGTACTACATTGCTGTTTGTGAGAATAACAAAAAGGTGAACAGACAACGTAATAACAAAAGGGGAGGGGTAACTACTAGCTAGGCAGGGCATGGAGGCTTTAACGTAGACAATAAGGTGGGAGGCAGGACAAAATTTAAAATGTGAAAAGGGTAAGGAGTAAGTATAGGTGGATAGAGGAAGCTAGGTATGGAGGATTTTTGGGAAAAAGACTGCCATGCTATGGGAAAACCATTCAATTGTGGTTGGTTGTGGTCCTGCTCATGGTTGGCTATGGCTACGTGTAGAAGCCGCTGCTGCATTATGTTAGTGAGGCATTATAAGTTTTGCAAAAAGTGCCTCGCGTGATGAGGACGCATTTTCAAAGCGACAGCTATACTCCAATAATAATTCAGAGTGATATCATGACCCTGCTTCTCGGAGTCAAATTTAGCACTCTGTTTTGTATTGCTCGTCTTTCATACTTGCCCCTACCCTTTGCTTCTTTAATCATTTGTCAATGCAGGCAAGCGGCCAGCACGCTGCTTTATTCTCATCCACATGCAAGTTTCGTGAGCCTTGTCCTGCATTCTCAAAATAGTCAATGTACATTTCTCCCCCTCACATAATAACTTCTCCTGCCTTGCCTTCATATTTGTACGCTTCGTTTTTTATGTTTAGTCCGGAGAAAGAGGTTTTGCCCTTTGATGTTCTGTGCGAGGGAAGTTTGGTCCCCAGGAATCCCAAACAAAGTTCACACTCTGGCCCTCTTAAAACACCATGTGAACAGGGCTCTATGACTACCTAATGATATTGGTACGACCTAGTAATTAGAATCAACATGTTTAAGTTGGACCTTAATACAATAGTTGCAAGAGCAGAAGATTCCCCGGCTGCAAATGGGGTCGCCTTCCCCACACTATTAGTTTAGGACTGAGCCCTAGGATTTTATAATTTTATAAAGTCCTCCCGGGACAATGGAAGAAGAAGTTAATGGTATCATAGAGATTAGTAAATATGCCCTTTGTTTTTTTAAAATAAAAAGCAATGAACAGAGAGAGAAAGGGGCGTGAGGACTGAAGAGGTCACATGTGATGAAATAGAAGGGAGGAGTGGTTGAAGAACAGCTATGGAGAATTGTCTGATGTATCACATCGAAGGGAAAAAATTGGAACAAGGCCTAGCACGTATGTTTCAAACATTGAACAACTCTATTAATCGTGAAGCAAGATAAGTCAAAACAGAGACGCTAGGAGATTTCACAAAAGCATGACTTAATAAATCCCATCGGACTATATGAAAATTTAAAACTGGGGTGGGTGAGAAATTGAAGAAATCTAATGAGAATTTTCAGCTGAAGGAGACGGAGAAGGTGGGTTGAAATGAATGGCAAAGGAGTGCCTCATAATAAAGGTGTGGCTCTGCTCTTGTTTGGCAAGTCAGTGAGTATTGAGTGGTCAATGCGTGTCGGTCAAGTAGTTAGGCCTACTTGTATCCCTTGTCTTCTTCTAAATCTGTCTTTCGCTAGGGTCGACCAAGAAGCATTCGTATAACCAAACTACATTGACTGTTTTTTTGCATAACCAACGTACAACGCAAGTGTAAATATTACATGACTAGAACCTTTTAGATCTCACAAGTCGCACATCGTGGAGATTTCAGGTACTACACAAGCCATCAAACATCAATATATGTTGCTTATGAGATATGGTAGTAACAGCCAGGCCAGTATCATAAACTAGTGAATCATGCCTTGCTAGATATGTTACTTGATAGCCAATCAAGTCCCTCGTAGAGTCCTTGTCCAGAGGTGGCACATGTGGCCTGGATGTACCTGCAGCATTCAATTAATCCTGATTTATCAGCAAAACGAATCTAAAGTATGCGTTTATTAATGTGAGTTCTAATTTCCATATCAAAGGTGGTGTAGTTGGGGGGAGAATATTAAATTATTCCATAGTTTCCATTAACTTCATTTATGTGTGAAATTATAGTTTATGATGGAAGAACAAGCGTCTGATCTCGTAAGGCATGTTGAGAATGAGTGATTGAGACAATTGAAGAGGGGATTACCAACGGCGCCGGCGAAGTGAATGTAATCCAAGTTTGTCTGTAATTTCAGAAACACTCATGGCATTTGGAAGGTCTTGCTTATTGGCAAACACCAGTAAAGTAGCATCCCGAAGTTCATCCTGCAATAATGCGTGTTTTTCAGCAACGTTCCAGTCCCATTTACTCTCTGATTTTTTAAGTAAGGATTTGTTTGAATTTATTAAATTTGAACCGCACAAATGAAAGAACAAATTACCCACCAAAAAAAAAAAATCATGGGAAGTTATATCAGATTGCAGATAAATTGCTAGTTTCTGCAGAAGTCACTGACCTCACTCAGCATTCTATGGAGCTCATCCCTAGCTTCAGCAACTCTTTCTCTGTCGTTACTATCTACCACAAAGATAAGCCCTTGTGTATTCTGAAAGTAATGCCTCCATAATGGTCGAATCTACACCCAAAATTGGTTCAATAGTCTCTACAGATATTTCATCGATAACATCTTTTGAATATTTTTTTATTATCAAACTAACAATACAGATCAAACACATAACGAGCATAGATTGTTGGAACTTCAGAGAAACTAAATTCATATTGAGAAAATGAATTAAAAAATTATACCTTGTCCTGTCCTCCCACATCCCACACAGTGAAGCTCACATTTTTGTATTCAACAGTCTCCACGTTGAAGCCTGGCTTGTCCATCAAAGAAATCCTATGTTATATTTCAATATCCAAACAAAAAATAACTGCAAGTTCCACTTTTTGTCGGATAAATCTGATTGTTTTCTGGGACATTCAAATGGAAAAAGAAATAGGATGTCACATTCTCAATCGGTCTGAAATAATGCTTTTTCTAAATAGTGTTACGCTATGAGGATGAGGTCGTCTGATAAACTAAGTCTTAGCCCACGTTAAATTATTAATGAAATGCGCATGGCAGAAGAATGCAAATATCAAATAAGAGTGCTAGTTCAAAATCGATTCCCAGAACGTCGGAAGATTCTGTGTTTGTCAGAAAGAAACCAACGTAAAATATGGATAAGAACTGCTTGAAGGTAATAGCAAGTAGGTGAGAAACATAGTTATACAATCGCACGGTGGTGGGTACCTATAGTGGGAATGGTGGTGACGATTTCTCCAAGTTTCAGTTTATAAAGTATTGTTGTTTTCCCAGCTGCATCAAGGCCAACCATGAGAATCCTCATTTCTTTCTTTGAGTAAAACAATCTAAATAGCCTCGATATCGCCAAACCCATTTTTGCCTCTGCTTCAAACACAACTGCAATTAATGTGACGAGCAACTCAGAAACCAAAACTTAGGGGGTAAAATATTATGTTCTAAGAATTCTTACGATGCTCAATATTGTTAGAAACTTGACAGTAGAAGAATATATGTGCGGGAATAATTGTCAATAAAATTGAGAAATAAAACGAAGATATAAGTATAACCAGAATTTATGTTCTTAAAAATTGCGTTTCTATTGTTGTCAGCTTTTGAGTATGCTACAAATGGGCTTGTGAAACTTAAACTTAGCCAACAAGAAAAATCAACGGTAAAATAAATTATTTGATGACCAAGCAAAACCAACAGTAACTCGGTGGGTAAGAAATCTCAGTGATCCTAATAAGTTTCTTTGACTCCAAGTAGGCAGCAAAGCCACTTCACAAATCTGGAAAAAAGAGAGAAATTTTATACCTGTGCTGAAGCTCGGGAAGAAAAAGGACCAGTCTTCTTTAATCTTTAGAAGCAGAGGAAAGCAAAAACCAATTAGCTGTTGGCTTATTATTATAATCGTATGACAAGAAAAGGGCATCATAATAAAAGAAAAGCGAAAACAAAAAAAGAAAAAGAAAAGAAGAAGAATATGATTCCAAGAAGATTGTCGAAAGAGAAAAGGCGTAATTTTGAGCGGAGGGCTTTTGTGAATGGATGAAAAATTCGAAGGCATAAATACTGAGAGGGAATGAGTGAGATTCTCGTGCAAGTTGGGCACATAAAAAGGTTGCGTATTCCCAACTGTGAGATTATGAAGTGATTGAGCATGATACAAATCTGAAAGCATGGCCATCCAACGCATTCACTTACGTCTTGTCAGATTCAGGTGTCTAATTAAGCTTTCACGTTGTATGTTTCAGATATTCGATTTTTCGAGAATATGTTGCAATTTATTGTTTTACATTGGATATATCTAAGTGCAAAAAAGCACCCCTTCTTGTATGCAGAAACAGCATATTAGCCCTGCTTTTTTTGGCTAATTTAGAGTCGAGATCGATTTTCACTTTTCTGAGATTAGATCATGCGTAGAGCAAATGAAACAGGGGCTCATGACATCAAATAGATAACTTAGAAATGAATGAAATTATGTGTGACTGTGTCCTACAATTTACAAGGCGACTTGGGGAACAAGCACAGAAGAATGAAGTTTAATCAGCATCACAAGAAAAGAAAGTGAAAGGAGAACAAGAGATGACAATGAGGAGTGTTATTTTTGAGATAAGGCATCTTGGGCTGATTGTAAGGTGGAGGCGACAGCGGCAGCGGCACCGGCAAGAACACCACCACTGGTATTAGATTTGGAGGCCTCCGAGAAATGAGGTTTGTGGATCACCTCCACCTTCCTCTCTTGTAGCCCTTGCCCTGCCGATGATCGGTATTCCACTGTTTCTACTCTTTTTGTCTCACTTGTCTCATCCACCTCCTCCTTCTGTCACACCAATTCATTTATATATTTGTTTATAATGATGTAACAGCTTTAAAAAAAAAAGAAGAAGAAGGAAAGAAAGAAAGAGTTTTACCATTGCTCGTGCGTTCATGTTGGCGCAGTAGTTGATTCTTTGAGGTGTTTTGGAACGAATTTGGACATTTTACTAATGAGTTGAAGATTTTAAGGGGAGTTGAAAATGGATCAGGAGGTCTTCAATGGGCATGGAGGTAGGCTAAAAAACAGGGCTGCCTTACGAATAATCTCCCACTTGTCACCAAATCCAATACCCTCCGTTTCCATTTCCACTCCTATTAATATTATCATCAGGAACTTACTCCTTTAAAAATAAAAATAAAAATTGACGTACGTTGACGCATTACACGCTAGAAAAGATAAGACAATCGATCCCCAACAAAACAGAGAGAACAGATTAGACAAAAATGACATAGCATAAGCTATAAATGCGCTGTAATCATCATTAAGAAAAATCAAAATTCTACAGATGTCAATTTCTATTATTTATTACAACATTATCACAAGAATGGTTATTTTCGTTCTTTTTTTTTTTATTTGTCGTTGCGGTTCTATATGATAATTGATAACATTATACTAGTTACTTCCCGTCCTTAATATAAGATCTTGTTTGACTTTTATTTTGGTCCTAAATATAAGACACTAATCCACTTTGTTTCTCATATTTATATATATTTTTTAAGATAATTCTTCTAATAATAGTAATTCTAGTCAATATATTTAATTAGTAAGGATATTTTAGAAAAGATAACACTTATTTATTACAAATAACTAACTTAACTTCTTTTTTTAATCTTCTCAAATTAGTCAACTAACTCTTATAATTAAGACTGTAGGTACTCCTTCCGTTCCTTAATATAAGAGACATTTGATGCTTATGGCATGTTCCTATATATAAGAGACATTTAGAAGTTGTCTCTATTTTCTTGTATTGATTTCCTATTTTACCTATTTATTATCTTCAACTCACACACTCTCTCCTTCCTACTTCTCTTTTTTGAATAATTTACTATTGTTCTTTCTCATACTCTCTCTTTATTAATGAGGGCCTTTTTGAAAAAAAAATTATACATTTTACACATTGATTATTTTTAACTAATTTTAACTATTTTTTTTATCAACGTAATTCCGTTATTTGTCTCTTATAATAAGAAACGGAGGGAGTAGTATTTAAGAACTTTTTCATAGAAGACGACATCAACGCGACAAATTCTCAAGACAAGAACGGGATTTGAACACTGATCTTTCCAAAATACAACCAAATTTTGGTGCTTCAGTTACATGAGATAGGGATTAACATGTTGACTTAAATGTTTCTAGGAAAATGTCTTTCAAGCAGAGAAATGAAGATACAACAAAATGTGGTGGTATTTAACAAGTCATGAGAGGTGACCCACTACAATGAACATCCGAAGCATCAGAAAGCCTTTGCCTCGGCGACAATGTTAAGATGCTAGTCGCATCAAAGTCAGGATTCACAATGATCTTTCTCTTCTGATTTTCGGAACTGCCTTTCTCCTCCGAAACCTCCGTGATGGGGCTCAATCTCTCACCTTCCTTCTGCTGAACCGAAACCATGGCTTGAGCTTCCGCCACAACCGTTGCGTCATCACCTGTGGCATATAATATCTTCTGTATAGCCGCAACAACCTGAATTTCGAAACATGAACCACCAAAATGTCATCATTAATTACTGGGTAATAGGTTCCCATTAGTCAAAGGAGACAAGCTATGTGCACGGTACCGGTAAGTGTTCTAGTTCGGGACTTTGGCACAGTATCTCAATATCCCTCAGTTTTGCGAAGTAGAAATCCCTCTCTTTTTCAAGGCCATCAATGGACAATTTTAACTCCGTGATCTGCATTTTCAACAGTATAAGTAAAAGATAAAGTATGACATTTGCTAATTCTTCTAGTGAAAACAAAATACCTGTTCATCATATGAAGGGCCGCTGCTTGAAGGTTTTGTGGCCCTCGCTGCTTGATTTGCATTATTTGTTGCATCATTTCTTCGTCCATTATGAGAAGACTGAGACTTCGCAGAAGTAGAAACCTTAGCAGACGACTGGGATTGTGAGGATTTCTTGTTTGCTTCTCTTCCTCCCTTGCAGGACTCTCTCCGTTCCAGAGGATTGTAACTAACGGATAATGCATGGAAGGGCATCAAACCAAACCCTTGTTAGGTGTCAAGAACTAATATAAAAAATTTAAATAGGAAGCAGGATAGCGAAGCAGGTGAGTTGGAAACTAAATATGTCCCAGATTCAATTAATTAAAATGACCCTTGGAAGTACGTCGTGAACAGTTAATGAGAGCCAATTGTCATGGAGTCGAATGAGCGAGATGTTTTCATAAAACCTTAGTTTCAAGTAAAAATGTCGATTAGTGGCAAAAGTCACAGAATCGACTATGCACAGGGAGAAGAATTGCCTACTGAAGCGTTTTGACTTTGATTATAAAACATTCAGAGTGCATTAAAAGCTTGCTTTTGTCCTCTGTTTTCCTCCTTGAAGGGCTTCAACAAAACGATTGGCAGGCTTCAAACCAAGAAAGGTTGGCAAAGATATGTAGCGAATCTACAAATACTAACATAAACACCAACTAATAGATAGGAAAAGGCAGTGATTTTAGTAAAAAGAAATTATAATGACGAAACAGCGCCCATGAATAAAGAAGAAAAAAGTCAAGATTTAATTACTGGTGCAGAAGTCCCGAATTGACAGAGTCACAATATCTTTTCATCCATTGCATGAACTCCAAATTATCCAGCGGTCTTCCTTTGACAAGCTTGTTGACCTCGATGTGCTGAACAACCCATCCCCAGCAAAAAAAAATTCCACGCAACAAGTCAGCGATCGCATTCGGTAAGGAACATTTCATGTGATTGATAATAAACTCTAGGATGAAAAAATTTGATAGGAGTCATAAAGGGCAGAGAACAAGAAAATTTATGACCGTAAAGAATGGAAAAGAAACGGACATACCTTTGTGATTTTGAGTTTATTGAAGACGTCTTGAAGGACTTTGTAGTTCTGAATCATCTCGTACTCACTCTTAGCATCAAAATTGACCTTGTGCATGGGCACAATCCCAGGATGGACCGCATCCATAAGCTGGCAGTGTACCGCACCAGAACAAGCCTGACGAGTAGACGGTCCAAGAAACCATGACCAAGAAATCAGACGCAGAAAAGATAGGGAAAGAAAAGGAACGATAAAGCGAGATGGGTTAGGGTTAGGGGGTTGTGATGAGAGGGGATTGAATACCTCTTCGACTCTGGAGAGATTTAATTGGAGTGAGGAGTTGATCCAAGCGAGAATCTCAGATCTACCAACGAAATAAGCCGAATCCATGATCCCAATGTTCGTCGCCATTTTCTGCTTCTTTCCTGTGTGGCTGTCTCTAAACACTCTCCAGATCCTTTGGGATTTAAAACTGGAGCGGGGAGCGGGATCTTCCCTAATTTAAATTTGCTGGTGGACACGACCGTTGGACTCAACCACTGCTGTCAACACTCAACAGTCGTTATGGGTTTGGGCCTACCTCCTTAGGCCTAATGCCTAATGCTACACATATTTTTTCCCATCTCGTTCACAGCATTGTTGGACTATACCTCCCATTCCAGTGGGCTTTTTCAAAGCCCACTCACATTTGAGTCCAAACCGACGCAGAATGAGTTCTAAAATTCAATACTAATTTTAAGCTGAAGTGTATCATTTGTTTTCTAATTTTACACAAAATTTCAGTTTGGCCTCTTAATTTTATAATTTATCTTTTTAATTCTCTAATCGCTAATCCTATCGTCGTTAATCTCAAATAATCATTCTGTGTCTGTTGTTGTTGTTTGAAAATATTAAATTTAATATGTCGGCATATAAAAATATTGTGCTATATTTAGAATGTTAATACTGATATTGCTTGTTAAGTAATAAATGATGGTAGTGTCATATAATTGAAAAGGGCACTTTGTGGGATTAAAAAATCGAGATGAAATCTCATATAAAATTAAATGGATAAACATGTACCTTTGCCTAAGCTACATTGCCGTGATTGTTTTGCCAACTAGGTTTTGTCATGCTATTGTCAATTACAACTTCAAATACCAAGACAACTTCTCACGGGTTATTATTAGATCATTTGCAGTTCGAAGAATATTCCATGAACATCATTCCAAACTCATTCATAAAAGTCCATTAATGCTGCCATCAAAGCTCGCTTGCGGTCATGGGCTGGGGTTAAAAGCAGTAGTCCTACAAAACCTGTCAGACTGTCAAACAAGCCGCTAAAGCCGATTGGCTTCCCCACTATTAGAGAACGCCAAGGAATCCAAACAAGAGCACCGGTTAGTCAATCATAAGTATACTTTTCTACAAAGGGGAGAAATAAACATTGTGGCAAATCACGTGTTTTGGTGAGCATGGTAATGTGAGGAAGAAAACGAGGACGGTATTTTCTCTATAACTTGTAACACTTCTTTCATGGATGGCCTCTTCTGGGGTACGCTAGACACACAACTATATCCTAACTTGAACCATGCCAACAAGGACTCCTCTTTTCCCTGCATGTCAGCACGAATTGCCATGTCAGCCATCCGAAGAACCCGGGTCTTGTCCTCAACCAAAAGCCCAGGCGGTTGGCCCATGTCATCCAAAACCACAATCTTCCCCGTTAGCAGCTCCAAGAAAATGATGCCGAAGGAGTACACATCCCACTTGGGAGTGGGCTTCAGGCTTCTGAGCGCCTCAGGTGCATGGTAGGGAGATACACCCCCTATGGCACTTGGGCTTGGGCTTGGGCTTGGGCTGGCCCCAACTACCATGTCTGGAAAGCTATCCCTAGAGGCCGTGGATCGCTTACTCCCAAATATCCGAGCTGATGCGCCAGCTTTATAACTAGAATCTCCTGTTACAATTCTGTCGAGCCCAAAGTCTCCGATCTTGGGCTCCATGTCGTGGCCCAACAGAATATTGCTGGGCTTTAGATTTCCGTGCACGTGCTTCTTGTCGTGGAGATAAGCCAACCCACGTGCCACCCCTCTCGCAATCTTGAGCCTGACCTCCCATGGTAGGTGACACGGCGAAGAGCCCACCTTCCCTGACATCCCAGAGACACCACATTATCAGTTCACACCCGTAATTCAACGGAACAAAGACAGTGCCTCAAAACAAAAAAGAGTAGAAAGTGTTATTTCCCCTTTATTTAAAAACTGACAAGAGAGCTTGTAACCCAAAAAAAAAAAAACTGACAAGAGCACATATCATCATTTTTATTTGCGCGCTTCCAATTATGGACGCCCCAGTCGCTATCAGAATACCCAAGGACGAACCTCGTCACTAGGTCTTTGACTATCACAGCCGAAAATTGAAAAAAAATGTTACGGTTGCAGCTACTTGCTCCCATCCCCTCAAGGTCATGTTCTTCATGCCTGGCGCATGGTAGGTTGATAGATTTTTCTTTTTCTTAAACAAATTCACATAATCAATCTTGAAACAAATAAAGCTGCCAAGTTGGTGCATGTTTTGGACAAAGAAGATATTGAAATACTTACTGTAACGAAAATTTGCAAGGCTGCCGTTTGGGACGAAATCGTAGATGACGAGCTTCTCATCGTTTCCCCAGTAGAAGCCACGAACACGAACCAGATTGGGGTGCACCAATTTGGCTATGACCCGGCCTTGTGTTTCCAAGTTCTTGAACCGTTCGAGCCCGTTCTCGCCGATTCTTCGAACCGCTAACGCCGATCCGTCTTCTAGCACGGCCTTGTACATTATACTGGAACCAGTTGCCCCCAGTATAAATGCCGAAGCCTTCAGCAATGTTTCCAGCTCAAGCTCTTTTTCACCGTCCACAGTTATCAGTGTCCCTGTTTTTCCTTGTCCTGCTTCTTGTTCATGTTGCCTGTGATTGTCATGAACCTTTTGGTTTTGCCCATTTCGTGGTTCTGCTTCGCTGCCGGAAGAGCTTGTGGTGTCGGTGGACTCTTCCTCTTCAGCCGTCTTGCGCAAGCACGACCACCTTCTGAACCCTCTTGACTCGGGTGATGATGGCGGTGACCAATCACTCCTCACTGCAGTAGCTTCCTTCTTCAATGTGCTCTCAACGTTTTTCTTTCTCTTCAACCGGTAGACATACACAAAAATTAATGCTATGATTGCAATGCCAACAATATCTCCAACTACGATTCCTATAATTGTTGTTCGTCGAATCCCGTTTTGCTTAGAGTGGGAAGATACAGATGGTGAAGCTGCGAACTCAGGAGGAGAGTGAAACGTGTTTGGAAATGCAGCCAAAGCGGGAGATGTGGCAACCGGCATATTTGATGGAGAAGATGGAGGAGTAGTAGGACATGGATTCTTGGTTGGTTCTCCGCAAAGATCAGGATTCCCGAAAAATGACTGGGACTGTTGATTGGTTAAAACTACGGAATCAGGGATTTGGCCGGTGAGATTGTTGAAGGAAAGGTCGATGGTGGCGTTACCTGGGATTTTCCCGGCAAATTCTGGAGGGATTTTCCCCGAAATTTTGTTGTAGGAGATGTTAAAGTACCGCAAAGTAGCCCCGCCAAAATCCGGAGGCAGAGATCCATTGAACAAATTCGAAGATAGATCTAAAACCTGTAACGTTTGGAACCCACCAGGAAGACCGCCGGACAAGTAATTATTATTCAAAGAAGCCACCGTTAGATTTTGCATATTTGCCAGATTGGTAGGCAGTTTTCCAGCCAAGGCATTGTCAGAAAGATTGAGAGCCTGAAGATTTCTAAGCTGTACTATGGAGTCTGGAACCTCCCCGCCTATCAAATTGCCAGACAAATTAAGCGACTGAAGTTCAAAAGCCTGAAAAGTGTAGAGGGAAGAGACCCGTTGAGTGAATTGCCTGAAAGGTCCAGAATTCTGAGGTGCTCAATCAACCCCAGATCATAAGGAATCGAACCCACAAGCCGAGAATTTGGGAGAGATAAGCCGATCACTTGAGCTTGAGCCTTTTCTGCACTTGCAATATCCACGCACGTAACCCCATTCCATGAACAAGGTGTCTCGTGGCCGTAATTCCAGCTTCTAAGCACGCCAAGAGGATCACTCACAACTGAGTTCTTGAAGGACAGCAACAAAGCACCGTCTTTGTTCAGGCCTGAGGACAGATTAACAAGAAGAAAGGCCGAAAGAATACTCGACCATGAACGGAGACCAGCTCTCGAGTGGCACATGATTTTATAGTGATCTCGTATTACTCCATGTAAGAACAGGATAGAGACGAGAGAGGAAGAAGGTTTAAGAGAGTTATGATGGAACACGAACTATGGAGGTGCAAAACTGCCACAAAAAGAAAGAAGGAAAAAAAGAGTTGCAGGATAAACTGCTCACCAAAACTAAACTCTCTTTGTCAGTGAAGCTACGCAGGATTTGCTCAAATAGTTTATTTGCTCTTCCCAGTGGCTCAGCTGTCTCGCTCTTCCCAAACTGACTCTATAAAATATTGAATTAATAGCGCTAAGAAAGATTAAGCTTCTTTTTTTATTTTCCAAATAAATATATGAATCAGCACGGTATGTCAGCATCCAATAGTGTCATTATTGAAAGGGGGTCCCCAAAACAGGATGACTCTATCTATCACCGCATCGTCATTATTGAATTAAATGGAAAAAGGATGGTGTTTATTCAATGTTTGTCCACTGTTTTAAATTGAAGTGGCGGTCACTTGAGATTGGAAGATGCAAATGCCATGCGATCAATGCACAGGACAATTAAGGACCAACCAACCTTGAATTCCAAGACCGCGAGAAGATATGGGCATATCCCATTTATTGGAAAGAGGGGATAGTAAATGTAAATGCGCAGTACAATATCAATAATGCTGTTTCGTGCAAATCGGTTTTGTTGTTCCCTATTATTATTTTTCCATGTTACCATGTATCATTCGTATCAGCATGATTTTGCAGAATAGTTTGCTACTGTTAGCTGATGCCGCCCAAAACAACGTTGCCATCTAGAGGCATGTCTTTTCAGGTCAACGAGGGGAAAAATGATGCCTTTGCTTTTTCTTCATCCATATTCCTTATCGTCTTGCTCTTCTTTAGCTTCTTGTTTTGTTATGTTTCCCTTTCTAAATGGTGCCAGCTTTAAATTCCATATATTAAAATAATCTGCCAGGTGAAAAGGAGATCATTAGCGTTTTAAAAATGAAATAATCATAAGATTCAAAAGATCAGGTATATGCTTTATGTGGTGGATCATTCGGTTGGAAAAACTTTCTAGGCCCCCGTAATCGTGAAAGGTGCTTTAAATTGGCCATTAAGATCCATCCTTTTCTTCCTTGCGAGGGAAAAGGGAATTAAAAAGCATATAACCCTTGCTTTGCTTTTCTTTTTTATTAGTTCTTTCTAATTGAAAAGATGGCAATAGCTATAAGAAAGGAGAAAATAGGGCCGTTAGCAATTCAAGGAAGATGACCAAAACAGAAGCCTTTCAGAAAGGTCGAGCCACGAAGAAACCACCAAACCCAACCCCTTCCAAGAGATGAAAAAGTCACCAAAACAATAAATTACTAACATCGCGAACGCAGAAACAGGCAAAGGATAATCTTTTCAAAGGAATAAACAAAAAGCCTGAGTTTAGTGAAAATTTGCACGCTCTTTCATAGCTCTTTTTGGAGCTGAAATGCTGTCAAACAAGGGAAGAGATTCCCGATCACCCTTTTGCCTCTAAATTGGCGCGCAATAATTAAAGGCACAAAAGGAATTAATCTGTCTAGTGATGGAGCCAGTAACACGGAAAGGCTTGGAGCGAGCAGTGCAGTACCCGAGGTTAATTTTCTTTTAGCCTTTTATTATAGAGTAATTTTTTGGTTTTCATGAGCAGCATAAAAGATGATAGCTGTAACGTAATGTAACTTCGCTTCGCACAATAAATGGATCGTGCTTGCTCGATAGATACATAGGAATCTCTATTCAACGACGCTGGGGAGATGAGCGAATTCCAACGAAGAAAACTAAGTGAAGAAGACGTCAACAAAGAAGGGCGTTGAGCAGTTGAGCCTTAGTCCACCCCGTGAATGGAAAGCAAAGGCATCTCAAAGTCCAACAATAATAATATATTAAACCGTCGCTTGTAGTTGTACTGTGCTGGCTTAACTTAAGTCGTAGGATTGATTATCCTTTTCAACACAATTTGTCCTTCTCCATGTCTTCTTTTAATCTCGTGGCCACGTGCTCAATCAAGCGGGTGTGTCTGGCGTATAATTGCGCAAGTCAAAAAGGGGTTTCATTAAACTAATCAGATATTATAATTAAGCATAGTTGCAGAGAGAGTAAAGCAGAAGGGGCAGTGTGTGAACATGTAGTTTATTAAAGAAGTAGGTTTAGTAATAGTAAAATCCCGGAATTCCGACACAAATGCTTACACAAGAAGGAAGCACATGGGAGGAGCCTCGAAGTTATGAGAATGGCTTCCTCCAACTGGACTTCACGCTTACTAATCACCGCCCTCTGTCCTTTTGCCCGCTTCGCTTTCCCCTCTTATGGCATTTGCCAGTATTTCTGTGTGCACTGTCTAAGGATTTTCTTTTTAGGAGAAAGAGGGGTGGTTGGTTTCATGGCTTTTGCCAGTATTGGTTGAGCAGAGTATCATTACAAGGTCACAATTGGGAATTGTGAATGATGTCCCCATTGCCCGGGAAATTCTCGTCACAAATATGCACAAATGGTACGTCCCGGGAGCACCGTGGAGCCCCATTTTGTCCGCCCACGAAATTTTATTTCTTTTAAGCTTGGATTGGGTTGTTTTATCAATATTGGACATAATTTTAGCCCCATTAGTCCAGCATATTGCTGGCCCAAAACCCTGCGCATGAAAAGGGGACAGAGAACATACTGTTTTCAACACACACGAAAACTCAAATTCATATATTAATTATATCTGTTTTATTATCATCTAAAAATAAGAACAGTAACATCATTTTCAACCCATGCAATTATTTTTTCCCCTACTGTTTTGTTTCTTTTTTCTTTCTTCAAATTTGTGACATGAGTGTCTGTCTTCTCATTTGTGGATTTTTCGGATTTTTCCCCCTTCCTGCTTCCCGGGGCCGGCCAACCTAACCAATCCTCCCCCCCCGGGGTCGAGATAAAAAAATTAATTAAACAAATCAAATTCATTAAAAAGAATTCAGAGTCGCAGTAACCCTCAACGGAAGGTCCTGATCTTGTTTGGACGGATTCAAGAGAACGTTGGCCAGATCGATCAGCAGCAACTCCAATTTTTCCACGACATAATGTACATATACCTAGATTAATGATTATCTCCGCAATGAAAAACAACACCAATTGTTTAATGGCCTTGATAGGTGGCAAGGTAAACCATAGGATTTTGACTTAACCTAATGAGTATATCTCTGTGGCTTAAGGATTCTTCAGTTGAGGAATGAATCCGTTCTTAAGCGTTTCGGGGGCAGTAACTATGCTGTCCATTTAATGATCAAATAGATAATCACAACACAATATTATATACACACACCATATGCCAGCTTGCCAATTATACATACGTGAAAGATTCCATTAAGGAGTATGCATACCGAAACCGAACTGTAATTATTCTGGACGAATCCTCTTTGCTACTGTGATTTACACGCGTGAGCCTATTGACGACCAACAAATCTGGCGGGACTGAAGTATTTAAGATCAACAATGGAAGAATGACCATCAATTACAAGTTCAGCCATGGCAGCTCCGGTGGCAGGACCATTTAGAATGCCCCAGCAACTATGCCCCGTGGCCACATAACAACCCTTCATGCCTGGCATTTCTCCGATCACCGGCACCTCGTCATCCGTGCACGGCAAAAAGCAAGCTTGCTCTGCCTTCACCTCTGCCTCTCCCCCCAAATGGCTTGACACAGTCCAAGCCACTCTCTTCAGCATTTCAATCGATTCCGAGTTTCCCCTCACCTCCTCTGGATCATCCGGGACCTCTTCCTCCGCCGACATCCCACACAAATACACCTCCCCTGCCAAATCATGCATTTCCCATCAAAACCATCTTTCCTTTCTGATTTCCCAATCTTAATGCTATAACAGTTATGAGCTTAGCTATGATTTAATCCAGATTTATATGCTCTTCGTTAAGCTGTGAGTTCGGCAACTTGAAACAAGTTGGCTAGTGCACTATGCGTAATTCGGGGATCCAAATTAAGTGGTGTCCTATGCTAGTTCCACTCAATTGATATTTTATTTTAAAAGAGAAAGAAAAGCCTACAAGAGGTTCGGCAATGGCATACCTGTGGGGCGAGGGTAAACTTCAGGGTCCATGGGCTTTCCTCCATGAGACGGGTAGTATCTGAGGAACAGAGCGTGAGGCGTTATGGCATTTGCTTCTTTGGGCTTTAAAACAATGCTATGTGCCTTTAACCCATACACTCTAAACAGTGATGACAAAATTTCCAAACTAGCAGACCAGGGACCGAGTGCCAGTACCACAGCGTCCCCGTCGACAACTCGTCCACCTTCAAGCACCACCCCTCCAATTTTACCTTCATCTAACTTCACGCGCTCCAGTTTCCCAATCACCACCTCAACCCCATGACTTTCCACGGCCTTGCTGATTAGTGTGCGAGTAAAGAGCTGGGGATGTACTTGAGCCGTGGTCTCTGGAGTCCCAATTGTCCTGGAACTACCGCCCGGTCCATCGACCCACGAAGGGAGGGTGGAGCCACGGGAGGATTTGGAAGTGTGAGTTGGATTATCTGATTCGGTGAAAGAAACGCTGAGAGTGGTGAGGGGTCTGTAGCCGTAGGATTGTGACCCATTCAGCTCTTGAGAGAGGGAACGATGGAGATGAAAACTGGTCCGAGCGAGGGAAGCCAAGGGTCCTCCGTCGCACCAATCCAGGGCGAGAAATCCACCGGCTTTTCCAGAAGCCGCGCAGGCCACGTCAGACTTCTCAACAAGAGTGACGACGGCGCCCTTCTTGGCCAGATAGTAAGCCGTGCACACCCCTATAACTCCGCCACCACAGACGACCACTCGCTTCGGAGGCTGGTTGTGCTCCATAGTCAGCGAGGACGACCGAATCAACCCTGCTGGCGAGACGGAGAATCGATTATACGGGTTGGGTCGCGAAAACGGAGCTATCAAATTCAATGACCGCGGAGCTACAACCGCCAGATTCATAGTACTTCATAGTGAAGATTAGGCCCCCGTGGTTGACTGGTTGTTCTCCGTTTTGGAGCTGACGCGTGGGATGCCCACCATTTACTCAGACAAATGGGCTTCCCTTTTGGATGCTTTTTCTGCTTACGGGCTTCTGTTCATTGGATTCCCTTGTTATGTTGCACCAGGGCTTAATGGATAACCCACTAATTACTTTGGGGTTCATTTTATTATTTTCTCGTTTCCCCAATCTCATCGTCTAAATTATTTGCTTCGATGATCTTTCTGGTGAACTCTTCAGCAAGAGAAGCTTTCTCATTTCTCAACGTCGGAAGGAGGCTCAAATGATATTGCACTGCCATGTTTTGGTTTAAACCTTGTGATGATTGTTCGGAATTTCCAGGCCCAAAGTGAGGCCCGTGACATTAAGAGCCCAACTTCAATTCATGGGAAAGAGTTGGCCACTTTCGCACCCATTGCCGCTAGTCATGATCATAGCCGATGTTACAAATAGGATTATGTGAAACCTTGCAGAGGAATTGAGTATCTAAAAGCAAACGATAATATGACAGATGGTGAGAATTCCAGAGCGTGATTGAGGTTTTATATTCTCTCCTCAATCACATTTTCCACGGTGATGGATTTCTGATGGCAATGAGATATTTGTCAGGACTTATGGTCCCTCAGCCTCAGGTAACTAACAGTCACATATGTGTAGGCAGGACAAAAGTCAGAGGGGGGAATATTAAGAGGCGTCCACTGTCCAGTGCCCCTCCAAAGTTTTAAATTTGATTATTGTTGTCCTTTTGGTTGGTGGGCATTCATCAGAGCCTGCTTGTCGTGTAACAACATTGACACTCCCTCTTTGGCATTCTTCTATGTGAATAAGACTCAATAAAACAAAATTTCAGTAATGAACTAAACGCGTATTTGCATTCAAAAATTCTTAGTTGAACGATTGAATGAACAGTTATTGTTTCATTCACACGTCCTCGACATTTAAGTGATGATATGTTTTTAAGTGGTGAACAGTCATTATTGATCTCCCAATCAAGAGCAACACATAAAATATATGTAAAAACAACAGGGGAGTTATTTATAAATTGTGAGAGGGGTAATTCATTCCAACTTGGAATATGCCTCCAATTGGTTTTTTTTTCACCAACTCCCTTTTCTTGTTGATTTTCCTCGACAACGCGGCTGGGTCATCGGTCCCCAAACAAGGAAAACACGAAATAATAAACGTATGACGTTATGGTTGTTTGGTCCAGGAAAATAAATCCTGTTGTGGTTGTTACTTGTTAGTTAGATACACAAGAGGTCAAGTTCTAATCTCATCTGACGTTAAGAAAAGGTTGACAAGTTTTAAATCTAAATTATTTTTTTAAGAAAAGAAATCAGCGTTGCGATTCAGCTCATCGTTAGCTTCATTTCCACCAAGTTGTTCTCCATTATATATTTATATATATATATATATATATAAAAGTATTCCTCCTTCCTCACCTTTTTAATTCTTTAATCTTTAGAAGTTGGAAAACAAGAATAAGAAGCAGCAGAAAAGGCGAGTTAATTGCCAATCAATTCGTATGTGTTTGCTGGTGCGTGTGATGGCGACTGCAAAATTATTATAATAAAAAAAATGGCTGAGCCGGTGAAGCTCCTTCTGTGATACTGAAAGCCCCTTTCTTCCTCAAAATAATAATTTAAAAGACAAACGCTCCACTTTCGTTCAACTTGCATTCTCATTCAACTTTCACACACTCTTGTTTGTTTGTTTCTTGGTTTTTTGGGGAATATGACTTCACTTCACATTTTTAAACCACCAGGGTTTCTATCGGCCCACGGTTTTCTTATCTTCTCCCCATCCACCTTTCCTTATCAAAATATCTTACCCTTTCATTTATTATTATTATTATTATTGAAGTTATTTTTGTGGATTAATTTGGGTTCCGTATGGTATTATGACGGGAACAGTTATGTTATTCCTTTTACGCAAAAGGAATAATAAAAGGCGGTTCTCTGATACAGGGAAAAAGTCATCTCTCGCAGATCAGCCTGTCTGACCAATTAAGATGGGAATTGGGAAGCCTCCTCATTTTTCAAAGTCTGCCCAAACAAATACCAAGTTACGTTACAGTTGGGAGTCAACTTGTTTGAATATTACTCCTTTGCTGAGTTCATTCACAGGGCAAACATCAGACTTTGATTTGGATGGGATGTCCCTGGTTTTCCTTCGCAGCCACTCATTTTTTTTAAAAAAAAGGTCAATGTCTTAAATAGCGACACTGTTTATGTTTGGGAGTTAATTTGTCAAATCTCACTTTAGCTTCTGTCCCAACATCATATCATCTTATTTTGTGTAATCTACCTAATTCTTGATGATCTCTGATAAATGTGCCAAAATACCACCATACGTAATTCTCATGAGTCATGATTATTAACTGGGGCGCTTCAACTCCCTGAAATTATTATGCGCTCATTATTACCGGATTGAAAGTAGTAATATGGTAGCATACGTTGAATGTTTAATTAATATATATTAATGAGGGATTCTTATCGTAATGGTATTTTCGGTGGGAATAAACAACAATCATGTCTGAAAACGAAAAATGATAACGAAACTGTAGAGAGAGAGAGAGGGGGGGGCAGGGGATTTGGTAACAAACATGAATGATGATGAGTGACGACCAAGTCTTGTACTTATAAAACAGGAAAGAAAGAGAAGAGGCTTTTTATTTATTTCAAAGTGGGAAGTGGAGATGACTTCGTCAACCTCAGTGGTAGTAACGAGAAGAGCTTGGTGTTGGTGGGTAATCATAGCCTCAGAAACAAGCACATCAGCAAGGGGCTTAACAGTTACACGTCATTATCAAACAGCAGAAGCAGGAGAAGGTGAAGAAAGAAAAACAGAACCACCGCAAACATATCATTAATAAACATTTATATATACATATATGGATGGATTATCAAATGAGACAGGAAACCAGAATCAATAATTGGTGGGAGTAGTGTATTGAAATCCGGATAAGACCAGCCAGTTGAGATCAGAAACTGGAGGACCGGGCTGATAACCGGTCCGGTTGAGCATTTAAACGGGAAGTGAATCGATTCAGTGTGATCCGGGGCAAACTGGTAATAACCCAAGTGACCTACCTAGTTTGATGAGTTAACCCAGTTCCTTTAAAAAAAATATTTTGATAATTTTTTTAAAAGTTGTTGATAATTAGGATTTAGTGATTGAATAACTACAGAGAAAAATATATTTTTTTATCATATATCTATTTTGATATTTTTTTGGGATGAATATTTAGTTATTTTAGTATTACGATATTATAAGAAATTAGAAGTATATGATTATTTCATTAGTGATTCAAGAATCAAGATATTAAATTGATATCTAGTTCTTAGTAAAAATTTTAATTATTTTTTATTGTTTTTTATTCTCATCAATTTGACTCCCAGTTTGACTCCGGTCTGACACATTAACTCTTGATCCACTATCTTGATCAATTCGATTTCCGATCCAATTTTCAGTGCATTGGGTGGGAGAAGGACGGGGTCCCGGGGTAGAGGCACAAAGGGTTAAAAAAGAAGCAGCCTAACTAATTAATAAATGGGCATCAGAAAAAGACCCCACATTCCAAACAGAACAAAGCACCAAGGCTCATGAAACGTCCTTAACTTTAATCTTTTTCCTATTCACACACCGGATCCCGCCCTTTGCTTGTCCCACACGAACAAAACCTACCGTCCAATTAGTGTACCGTTGAATTCCTTCATATCGTTTTGCTCCTTTTCCTCCCTCTGGGCGGCTCCTCTGCTCTATCCCTAACTGCAACGATAATGAAAGCCTCTTTCTTTTATGGTTTTAGGCATATTTATATGTATATCCTGCCCCTCAATTCTCACCACATTATTCTTGCACGTTTCTTTCTTTTTGTTTAGAGACAAAAGCCAAGAGAAAAGGGATCATGTTTATAACTGTTGCAATTCCATTTCATGAAATCTACCTTTACTTATGGCGGAGGTAGCTAGATTAGGTCCCAAATGGCCTCCCCATATTAATAATTCTGCATCAGAAGCACCAAAGTGGAGCTTTGGATGGGTTTCTTTCCAACTGTGGTAATCATGATATCCAAAGCTGAATCTTATCTGCAACTCTATCACCGCTTTTAGTGGATAATTAATATGTATGTGGATTGTGTTTACAGCTTGAGATTAAACATAAAGAAATGAATGAATAAATTTTAAAGGGCTACGAACTTACTAAGCTCATAGAATTGAAAGGACAGCGACCTCTCACCTAACTTGAGCACGTAACAGGGGGAACACTGGGTTCCACACCTTGACAAAAAGCCCATATTATTGGAAGAGCCTATATACAAAATTCAACAAGAGGGTGCTGGTCGTGGTTCCGTTTTATCAATAGAGCCAACCTTCTTTTTCTCTCTAACTCTAATTCTGCAGAGATTTTTGTTTGCTTCTGTTTTCCCCAACTGCCTTTTTGCGAGATGGCATTCAATGAAGAAAACCCAAACTTTGGACTGTTCCTTGTGGTTTTGGTACTTCTTTTTTCTCCTGCAATTAGCTCCACAACCACCACCGTATCTGACGTGTTCAAAACAATATCTTCTTCTTAACATCCACCGCTCCAAGTCCCATCCTCCAATAATGCTCCCTTTTCTTTCACCAATGATTACACGTTTGTGGGTTTGCGCTTTTCATCAACTACGTTAGGTTGCAGTCTCTAATTTTTAACAGATTAAAAGAATTAAAAAAAAAACAAATCTTATTATAGAGTAATAGATTTGTTCATGGGTTTGTGTCACAGAGCACAGACCTTGTTGGTTCAATTATATTCATGTGCTGGTTTCAACTTTTAGAGACCGATAGCCGCTTGGTTTTAAATGGAAGTGAATAAAGGGAGAATAACTTAATAGCGAAATTAAACAATGAATGCCATTTATTTGTTGGGTAGGTGATATTTAATTTGCTTTGTGAGGTGCACATACACTCTCAATAATCATAGGCTAAAAAGAAAACGCCGAAAAGGATCGTGAATGAATGAAGGGAGCACTGTGTTATATTTAATAGAAAGCTAAAGTGGCTAGGACTGTGGAAGGTGTTAGGGAAAACTTATTTCTCAATGTGACGCACAATTCCATACAAGGGATCAGTTGTTGTTACGTGACAGTCTCAAACGACGAATAGTTAGATGCATCATCATAACAACCACACTAATTAGTGATCAAATCCTGTCAATTTTCCGAGAAGATTCTCACTCCATCACAGAAATAAGTAAGAAGAGTCAAAGTGTACTCCGTGTGATCCACAGAAACAAATAATAATACTAATAATAACGGGAAAGAGGAGGAGAAGAAGAAGAGAGCATCAAGAAAGGGAATGTATAGAGACATTAAAAACAAAAGAAAGGCCCAAGAAAAGTGATATGCATGGATTGGAAAAAACAGGAGCGGAGAGCAGAGGAGAGGTTGGGCAGACAATATCAGAGTCTCCTTTTTCCTGTCTGGTATTAATACGAGGGAATCTCTCGTCCTCAGTTTTCGTGCCTTCGTTTTCGAAGATGGCATGGCAGTTTCAAATTCGAACACGGCTCCTCCGTTAATATCTTCTCACTTTTCAGTTTTCACGATTTTCATCTTCAGCTAATTGAGCTATAACTACATGTTCTTTTCACTTCCATTTGCCTCGTACTTTAATTAAACTAACTAAAGCACCGTCCCATCTCAC